TCTGTAATTTGAGGAAACATGACGTCAGTGTAGACAAGCTCATCCTTCTGTTTTGTGTTGTGTTGTAGTTTCAGGAAGGGAAGTGAAAGTTTTGAGAACGCTCTATGAAGGAGAATCTCAGAAAAGCCTCACTGCAAAGATACCGGGGAGAAGTAGTTACTGCTGTCATGATTGCATTAACAGAAACTAATTTTTTGCCTATTAGTATGAAACAAAACATAATGTTTTATTATCCGACAAGGAAATGAGTCATGTAAATTGTTGAAAGTGACTTTTCTTACCATGAAGAACATTTACAGTCATTTGAGTCGACAGCTGCAGGCTCCTCTATGTGAGTGTCAGATAATGAGGAATACTTTAATATATCTCAGTATGTTGGAGTGCCTGCACAGCTGCAATAAAAAAAACCTAAAGCTGAGTATTTCCTTCTGACAACCTTAACAACCCAAGGCTGTTCTGGAAAACTATAAAATCATTATCTGAAAATAAAACAGTTATTGAGATCCCCCTTGCATTGTCAAAGAGTCTTGAAACGTTACTGACAAAGCCACCATGCTGGATTTATTCAATGAGCACTGTTATTGCTGTTGGGTCTCTGATTCCATAAGCCATGTGCAAACAAAATCCCCTGTCCGTCCTGCACACCAGGTAACTGTCCATCAGTTCTTTTAGTTGTAGGCCAGATACTGTCACTGAGGTGAACCAAGCCCTCAAACTTTTGGACACAAGAAATCTGGCAGGTCTCGATAACTTAGAGCCTTATTTTTTTTAATTAAGCTGCTGATTTTATAGCAACACCTATTACTTAACTTTAACATTCCTTTTGTCTCCTAAGTAATTCCCGTTAAGGAAATCTACATTTGTTCTCACCCCTGTTTTATTCATTCCATGGACAATAAAGAACACTGTGCTGCCCTCTTCGTTGACTTGTCGAAGGCCTTTGACACTGTTGACCATGTAATTATGAAACACAGAAAACACAGTAAAGGATTATCAGAACAATCTGTCTGTTGGTTTGTAAATTATTTATCCAACAGATCAGTTTGTGCAGGCTGAAGGCATTTCCTCCAAATGTCTTAAAATCATAAATGGAATGCCACAGGGGTCAGTCTTGGGACCACTGTTATTCACACTTTATATAAACAGTATCTGTCATAATGTTCCTATTGCAACTTGGAATCTGATACAGGAGGATTAGTTTCTGGGGCAGCTGGTCTCTTTTAATCATTTTAAAAGTACTGAAGGTAGTGGATGATGATGCATCAAGTTGTAGATGCTTTGACTGATGACTGCTCTGTGACCATGACTATTTTGACCTGTGTTTTGTTATTTTCTATGTGGTGTATGTCTGTCGTTAAAATGTGCTGCTGCACTGTTGTAAAGGAGATTCTTATTCTCAATGAGGTTTTTCATGGTTAAATACACTTTAAATACAAAAAAATGTGCTTCTCGTCCTATTACATAACTCCAGCAGAGAAAGGTTGGGTTAAGCTGATGAAGAATTAAGAAAGTTAAATAGCAGGAATTTATAGGGGGGATGACAAAGGCCCGTTTGGGATCAAAGTGTGAAGCTTTAATAAAGCAAATAGTAGGCTAATGTAGAGCAGAGGTAAGTGGGGCAACATAAAACAAAACAAACAAGAGGGATAAGAGTTTGTGATAAAGCCATGACCCCAAAGTCCCCTGCATGACAACAACTAAGTAGGACAGCAGCAGTTCACTCTTTAATAATAGTCATACTACTATTTAATGTAATTTAATGTACTTTCCAATTGTTCGAGGTCGTACAGACTTGACCACTGTATGAGAAAGAATGGAAATAATAACTGCTAATGCAGCTAGTTTTTTTTTTTTTAAATCTGTTCTTAGGTAAAAATACAGAAATGAACACAACACTGTGTTATTGCAACAAAGACAGAAACTGACCGATACATATTCTTCTGATCTGTCCTTCAAAGACATAATAGTGCCGTATGTGATCTTATGGAGTGATTTAACTTGTGCTTGAACTACATCTAAGCCTTATGGAAATGTATTTCAGACTGCCAATAGCACTCAAAATTGAAAAATAAGACATGAGAGACTTATTTTTGTTTTAAAGGGGTGTTTTCTGCCTGCATGTGTCACTGTACACTTACAGTGTTGCTATTCATGTTAGAAAAGCCTGACTGCACACTAGCTCTAATCTGATTGGATGCTGCTGCAAATGAGCTGATGGCTGTAAAGTGTATGGGAATTGGCTGTAGCCAATATAAACCCATCTGAACGCTAAATAAGTAAAATAACATTTATGCTTTCCTGACATTTCAAATAATGCACTTCTCCTGATGTCTGCAAAGAAGCCTCCAAAGAGACAAATCTTTAACTTTTTGATAAAAAAAAAAGAGAAGAAAACATTCCCTGCTCTTGGAATAAAACTTTTGTACACAAAATGTCAAAGTTCAAATATGTTCCCTTGTGTCTGTCTGTAAATATTAACAGAAAAAGCAACACATATCAAGAGAACATATGCAATGTGTTACTGTTGTCAGTGTTTAACTGAGGCTTTACTGCTGCAATAACAAAGATAACTCTTCACACCTTGTTTCTCAGTTAAACATGTTGTGTAAAGTCCAAACTCAAATGAAACATCCAACCGTTTAAGATAACTGAGAAACCATAACCAGAAATAGTTTGGATCGTATTTTTCAGGCTTCTTACCTTCTGGTTGTATTGAGAGTTTCAAGAGGTAATGGACAGGTTGTAATGAAGTCTGATGTAGATACAGATTTATAGATTCCTGGCCATTGTTAACAACTAATACAAGATTGCTATTCATCCAGCAATATCATCATATTTTCAACATTTTCTTAAAAACAATTTAGTGTTGATAAGCATTATGCTAGCATGACGGCGCACACACATAGCTATGATATTTCAATAAATTAAACCTCAGTGTTTAATCTTTGTCAAGTAAGTTTGTGAGCATGTTAGCATGATGGTGTTAGCGCCAGACAAAAGGATAACCAAGAAGTTATCATGTGAAAACAAAGGACAGGTCTTATAATGTTTATACGCCTTCACTTGTCAAGGTGCATGAAGGCATCCTGACAAGTTGAACTACTGATAGAGGCTGAAAATGTTTAATCTGGCTGTACCCATTACAGAAGAATTTATGCAAATCCCTGTGTAATTATAAATCCTCCTCGATGTTGTTTCAAGGGGTTAAATCTTCAATCTCCATGTACCTGATGCTCAGATCAAGTCTGTCATAATCAGAGCTGTAACTCCAGACAACAACAGCGATTTTTATTGGGGATAAATGATCTCCTTAGCCCGATACATTTATCTTTTGATTTATTCAGATAACAAGCCAAATAAAGCCCTTATCACATTACAACAATCCTTGTTATCCTGTTAGATTAAATAATGATTCATCTGTGAACGCTAAATAATCTCATCAAAACAAAACATTTGAGGGGCGCTGGCGGCGCAGTGGTTGGTGCACGCGCCCCATGTACGGAGGCTGTAGTCCTCTAAGTGGGAGGCCCGGGTTCAAATCCAACCTTCGGCCTCTCTCTTCCTTATTTCTGAGTCTATCCACTGTTTATTTCTCTTATAAGGGAATAAATAAAATACACTTAAAAAAAACCATTTGAAGCATAGTCGGTTTGCTTCTTGAGAATAGTATCAAAGCAACTTCATATCTTGCTTTAGATGACCATAGGAGTCCATTCATCTTCTTTCCTTGCTGCAGTGACCACTGACCGCCCTCTGACTCTTGGTTTAAATAGTTTTGTGCAGTACTTTAAGACCTTTCCCTTCCTTTTCTTTCTCCTGCTGCATATTTTTCTCCAGCTATAAAGTTAAACCAGCACATAATAACTATTTAACAGGACTTCCCACCTAATCTCTTAGTTACACAATACCACTTGTGCACATAACTCAGAACTGAAACCAATGAAACATACCAGCAAGAATCTGATAGTTGACTCACATCAATCCCCCACCCCATTTCTGTACATGACTGAGCAGCTTTCTTAACACTCACCCTGACAAAGCACGACATGAAAAAAAATCACCTAATCACAAAGTAGTATTTATTTATTAAGTACTCTGTTATGTTCCCTTTTTTCACTTTACTCAGACTCAACCCCCGATTGTACAAACATCAGAATTGTCCTTTTTCTCAACAACAACAACAAAGTCCACCCTACAGCCAGATTAAACATTTTCAGTCTTTATCAGTAGTTCAATTTGTCAAAATGACTTCATGCACAAAAAACCCAGAGCCCCCACGGATATTTACAAGCAACTTAAGTAACTGTTTTTTCTACACTTATTCATATATTCAGTCAAATCCCCCTTCGTTTAGGGCTCAAACTTCAAATACTCTGAAGAAGGAAAGGACAAACTCTTCAGTGATTACAGCCTCGCAGCTGACCAAACTGAGAGTTTATTGTTATGCTTTGGTGCACCTGCAGCTTCATCCACATGACATCTCATGCTGATCATGACACAAATGTAGACATTCCTCAAAACTACTCACCAGGACTCAAACCAGGCAGAAACATTTAGAAAGATTTACTGTGCAAACACAGTCTAATCGTTTCAGTCATTATATTGTCCCTGTAACTTGTTTTTAGAGTGCATCCTGTTGAAGTCACACAGTTGAATGTTATTGTCATGCTTTGCACTTTTTTTTAAATTGTTTTTCTTCTTTTGTTTGATCCAAACCAATCTCTACTGATGATTAAATCAAACTGATTAAATCAAACTGGGCATAATCACTAAAACAAAGAGAACCCCTGATAAGCCACATTATTACATTTGGTTGACCTCACATGTGCACTCAGGTTTCACACACACCACACACACACACACACACACACACACCACACACACACACACACACACACACACACACACAAACACACACGCACACACGCATGCACTCCATCACCCTGTCCTTCATAAGGAGGGGTGATTGAAAAGGAACTAAGCTAAGTTACGTGCTCACTCTTCATGCTGGAGCTCAGTCCTCCTGAAACATTCTTCCTGCACAGCGACGACTCAGCATTCTACCTCTGTGTTTAGAGAGCAGGCTGCTAATACCTCGAGAGGTTTCTTTGCACTTCGAAATAATCCAAAGTTCAGACAAGCTGCAGGAATTTCAAAGTCGATTACTGGGTCCAACACATGCAGCAACAGGGCAGCTTTTACTGCTGTTTATTTTTTGATTTTTTTCTATTTATTTTTTTGAGGAGTCAAGAACACTTTGCCAGGATTTTATCTGATGTGACAATATCATGAGCTTTTTTATGAAGGAGCTGCTTTCAAAAAACATTGTTTTAAAGATGTTTTATGTTACAAAAGAAGACTAAGTCAACAGGTGAGTCTATTTATTTTTTCTTTACATATTTGAAATGCACAAGATAAATTAGATAATGCAGCTAGTGTCTTTTTTACTCCCAATACTTCCACAGAACTAAATACTTTTAGATTTTTTTGTGAAATTCTAATTCTAATTATTCTTTTTGTAAATATTCTAGAGGAACCTAAAAACCCCAGGACCTTCCATTAGCATTCAAGTCGGCTTGTAGAGTTCTACAAGAACAAACTATGGCGTTTGGGGACCTCCTGGAGCAGGTGGGCAGCACAGGACGCTTCCAGATCCTGCATGTGACCCTCCTGGTCATACCTGTCCTGTTGATGGCTAGTCACAATCTGCTGCAGAACTTTGTGGCCGCCGTGCCCGCTCACTACTGCAGCGCTCAAACTAACCTCTCTCAGTCCCGGCTGAGTGCGGAGCAGACGCTGTTGATCACGGTGCCGCTGGACAAGAATGGAAGGCCGCATAGGTGTCAGCGTTACGTCACTCCACAATGGCACCTCATAGCTGAGAACGGGACCTCCAGCTCAGGGAACCAGGGAGACGCTCAGGATGATGGGGTGAACATTGACCTGCAGGGATGCACAGATGGATGGTCCTACAACATGACTGAGATGACCTCCACCATCATATCTGATGTAGGACTACATATCTCTTTTTTTTTTTTTTTTTTTACATGATTGTGTGCGTGTGTGTCTTTGGTCATTTGTGTTCATTTGTCTTACTTCTTGTCAGTGGCACTTGGTGTGTGATATGCGCTCTTTGAAGGAAATGGGTCAAACAGTCTACATGGGAGGTGTGCTTTTGGGAGCTTTTATCTTTGGAGGTCTGTCAGACAGGTAAACTTTGTGCAAGTCATTTGAAAGCTTCTGTACAATATAAGACATTTATCTGTTTCACTAATCATAAATGTTAAATCTCTGCAAGATTTTTCGTGCATTTTTAAAAAATGTATATAAATATCATGAGAAAAGTGTAAACTGTACAAGCCAAACACCACTTTCACTGTGTGGTAACCCCTAGATACGGACGACGCAACCTCCTGCTTTTTTCTAACCTGCTGATGGCCGTGTCAGGAACGTGTGTCGCTTTCTCCCCCTCCTTCTCGCTCTTCTGCCTGTTCCGGTTTATGTGTGGCATGTCTCTGTCCGGCATGGGTCTCAACACCTTCTCGCTCAGTAAGCCTTTCCCCTGGAGGGGGGGAACAATTAAAGTATTGTGTTAAAAAAGGACCTAACTGAAATCAGCCATGTTGAATAATCAAAGTCCATTAAATATCTCTTCTTCATTCATTTATTTCAAGTTGTGGAGTGGATCCCCACTCGCATACGGACTGTGACGGGGACATTAACAGGTTACTGTTACACGGTGGGACAGCTGATCCTGGCGGTCATAGCCTACTTCATCCGAGACTGGAGGTGGTTGACCCTGACTGTGTCTTTGCCCTTCTATGTTTTCTTCCTCTACTCATGGTGAGTACCAAGACTCTCAAAATAAAAGTTCTTTGATGATGGATTCTGAAGGTTAAGTGATCAATGTCACTTCTCACACTATGAATCAACACTGAGCAAATGTCTTCTACAGGTGGTTTCTTGAGTCTTCAAGATGGTTGGTCCTGAGTAATAACTGTGAGGAAGCCGTCAAAAACCTTCAAAGCGTGGCCAGATTTAATGGCCGGCAAGAGGAGGGAGAAAAAATTGACGTTAAAGTAAGGGAGCGTTAAAGTCTCTGCAGCATCTACCTCGTTTTAGAATAAATCTAGACTGACAAAACCCTTTCTTTTTTGTACACAGATGGTGCAGGAATCTATGAAGAAAGAGTTGTCCTCTTCGCACGGCAACTACACCATCCTTGATTTGTTCCGCACCACCACGATGAGGAATATGACACTCTGCCTTAGTGCTGTCTGGTACATGTTACACATCTGTCATGTAAAACCACGTTGAGCCTTTTCAGAACATTTCAATGACACAGCGCCTACTTTTTTTTGTTTCGAATCTCTAGGTTATCAACAAGCTTCGCCTACTATGGTCTTTCTATGGATCTGCAGAAATTTGGGGTGAACATCTACCTAATCCAAGTGATCTTTGGAGCTGTCGACATCCCTGCTAAAGTCGTCATAACTGTGACTATGAGTTACATCGGAAGGCGGCCATCACAGTGCGGTGCTCTCATATTGGCTGGAGTGACTATTCTGGCCAACGTGCTGGTACCTTATGGTATTTAAAACACCCATACAAAATACAGTGTGATTGTCAGAACACATACAAACAGGAAAACGACCTGATGCATGTTCCTCTCCTGTGCAGATCAACAGACTGTGCGCACCAGTCTGGCTGTGATGGGTAAAGGTTGCCTTGCTGCCTCCTTTAACTGCTGCTACCTTTATACTGGAGAGCTGTACCCCACAATCATTCGGTGAGTCTGAAACATGTCAATGTTGTAGGTTTATAGATTCACTCGAGGAATTCAATTCCCTTTATATGTAAGATACTCAGCTGTTTCTATCCGGTACTTCTGTAAACCTTGTAAAAGACCCGTTTAAGAAGTCTGCAGCCAGGTTTATCATCTGTACATTATTGTCAGGAATATAAACTGGAGCCCAACCAACTTATCCACCAGTCAATAATATCAGTAGATAGAAGCATATCCGGTGACTACCGATATCGGCTTATTTTATTGCAGATTTATGCCCCAATATGACTTCATTTATTCAGCAGTCAAAAAGCATTTCATTTGAGTTTCATCGTATTACACTAGCAGTTCTCTTTCTGCAGCAGAGGGCGCTATAGGGATTACAACCAGCATTATCACTCCACAGTTTCAGGCGGTGATGCCTGTACATGAGCAGCTACTCTACTTTCCAGTTGAGTGACCATCCTTTTCCAAAAGTGTTTGATATCTGCATTTGAGGGATCATCAAAAAATGTTACCTCTATACCTATACCTATATTTCTACAGGTCCAGGATAGATATAAGAACAATCCAGGCATGCGGATGCAGTTTAAGCTCCTTTGCTTTAAGACAGAAATCCCTGGTAGCAAATTGGTGAAAATCTACCAAAACAAAAATATGTGCAGCTCACGTGTGCATAGAGTGATCTGCTTTAGAACATGTCGTTGCTCTGCAGTTCAGTGTGCAGAAATGATTTATGGCAGCATGTGAACAAAAGGTTATATGGGCAGTTACTTACTGACTGTGTTAAACAAAGCTGCCTAGAATGAGACCAGGGTCATGACAATGATCATAACCTGAATGACCACACAGTTACATATTCTTCTTGTGCAACGCAGAGATGTAAAAAAAAAAAGGAGAATTCACTTGAAATGTCTTACGGGGTTTTTGTCCATGATCACCGATAGTTCAAGATGATCATCAGCATCGCATCATGATCACAAAAAACTCATTGAAAGCACCTTTGCCTGTTATTTGCTAAACTCACTTTGTGATCTTTTAACCTGACGAGCATTATTTAGCTTTTCTCTCTTACTGGCAGCGTGTGTGCTTGCAGATGTGCACCTGAGACCAACAAACCACATTCAACTCCTGCTTGGTCAAATGCTCCGTTTAAAATTGTCTGTATAATTAATGCCCATTTCCTCCATCAAATGTCATCTCTGTGATATACTCAGTAACAGAGTGGGAGCCTGAGGGGCTTAACAAACACCTGGAGGGGCTACAGGGCATGCTCCTTTATGACTGAGTTACGCTACGTCTTTCAAGCTACTTTAGACAGTAGAATTCCCCATGGTATAAAAGATACTTGGATTTTAAAATAATAGTTTTCAAAGGCAAAAATCCAATTTTCTGCCTGCCACCTAAAATGATGCAAACATAGTCTAAAACTTGACTAAACATATTTGATTACAGTCTGGCTACCAGACAACGGCTGCTGTTTGCATTCTTTCACTTCATTATCTAACAAGAGTAAGAATACTAACATTACTCATTGACATTCATCGAGTTATAAAAAAGAAGGCTGACAGTAAGAACAGCTAGGACATTGCCATTAGCTGTGGTCTGATGGTGTCCGGGTAATTTTATTTTATAAACCTTTTTCATAGGTTTTTTTTTTTTTTCATATTTTCATAAACCTTAATGGCACTGATGTCCCCCCCAGATTTTCACAATCCACTTCCAACTGGGAAGTGATAGTATGATAACAATTGTACATTTCTTTCGATGTATAGGACTTCCACATTCAATTATAATAACACTATTTGATGCTCAGTAATACAGTGGCCTGTAGGTACATAGGCTTGGCAGCTGACATGAGGTACATTTAGAGAATCGTGCAGCATATTCATAAACTCTACACTTTCAAGAGCAAATGCAAACATTCAAATGAAATGCAACAACTGCAATGTGCTGCAAACACATACACAAGAACTGTACGTCTGTTGAAAGGGCTGACCTTGCAGCGTTTTTCTATTGGATGTTTCTGACTGAGTGTGTGTTTTTGACACGCTCATTTCTTTTGCTGTGCGTCTCAGCCGTTGCATTTCATTTAAGTGAAAGTGCAGCATTTCTGAATATGCTGTTTCTCTGAAAAGCTGTTGCAGCGCCTCTGCACCTACAGTAACGTATTTTTACTAAATCTGAAAAAGACAGAGTGAGACCTCCAAACAAATTCTTAAGGACTGTCCATTTAGGATAATACGTTAACAGTTTAAACATACTGCCAGTGATAGTTTATCACATGCATCATCATCTCTGATTGAAAGTGTTCAATGGCTGTAAGTGGCATTTTAAAGCTTTGTTTTCTCTCTCAGTCAGAATGGTATGGGCTGGGTGTCTATGATGGCTCGTGTAGGGGCTATGGTGGCCCCGATGGTCCTTCTCATGGGGGACTACATGCCCTGGTTACCAGGTGTGATCTACGGAGGTCTTCCTATTCTCAGTGGAGTGGCTGCAGTATTCCTCCCTGAAACACGTGGATCGCCCCTTCCAGACACAATACAGGACGTGGAGGACAGGTAAGATCAGCCAGCAGCAATGCTGGGCTTGAAAGTTTATAGCAGGTGCTTATGATTTCTGACAAAAAATAATGTCACTACAGAACAAAGACATTCAGCTATAAGGGGATGTCGTTGTTATTTAAATGAATGTCACTAAATGTACATCGCAAGCCAAATTAACTCTGTAAGCCTAGATAACTTCTGAACAAGACATGCATACAAAAGTTACAACAATCACAGATAATACCAGTAAAATTAAAGTCACCTCAAACTGCAAAAGGGAAGCTTGAGTAGAATACTTTGAGGAAATGCAGCTTCATAAAACGTGACTGTTTGAACAACACGGCACTATTCCTGACATTAGCAGCTGCTTGCATGTTTTGGTTAAGTTAGCTCAAGACATGAAGCACAAAACAACAGTAGCTAACTGTTAGCTCACAATGCTAACTTACAGTCTTGTTCAGGGGTGGGCAACTGGCGGCCCGGGAGCCACATGCGGCCCCCATCAACGTGGCCCTCAGGTAAATTTTTACACATCAATTAATCGGGAACATGAAGAAAACATGACTAAATCTGCCATGAAATCATGAAAACCAGAAGTATGTCCATAATAATATTTGATCACTGGTATACGTTGACTTAAATTGGAGACAAAATTGACTGTAATCGTTTTTGTATTCTACAATTTGGCCCCTCTGGCAGTGAGAATTAAATTAATGTGGCCCTTGCTGTGACCAAAGTTGCCCATCCCTGGTCTTGTTAGTGAAGCTCGTTTACATGTCATCTTCTTCATACACCTTGTCGTCGTCATTATCATCCATCTGTTGCAAGACAATATCAGAACTCATGGGCATCTTTGGTCTAGCCACCTGAGACCAGCAGCAATGAAAGAGCTCCAATCAAGGCTTATTTTATGTGAGTTAACAAAGTTGACTGTAACTGGCAACCTGAGAAGCGAGGACAGGACCTTAAGAGCGGCTTTTTTTTAATCTGCATTCACAGATATATTTATTAAAAAAATATATAATATTTAAGATAAATTGCGTTTATATGTCTGTTAATGGGTTAGCCTTGCTGGGATTGTTTTACGGTGGATTGCGTTCCGACCATTTAGCTCGTGTGCCTCACCTGTGCCGGTGTTTGGGTGCAAGGAGTGACCATGTTAACTGATGACTTTTAGTTTAAGGAATCTATGGATGTCATAATCACAAAAGCTTTTAAAACAGAAAAAAATAACAGATTGTCATTAACAGTTGTCTAACAGTATAACAGTTGTCATTAAAATGCCCATATTTAATGAAATGATAAACTATTATCATCAGATAAAAACAAAAACGAAAAGGCATTTGTAAGGACAGCTATAGGCTTTTAAACAGCTGTTGTAGACTTCCAAGCCTACAGAAATAGGCCTGAGTAGACCCTCCCAGATTTGACATTCATGTGCCACCTGGAGTTTACAGTGTCTTGTTGTAAGTTACAAAACATGTTTAAAGTTTAAGGCTAAAGAAGTCAGGCTTCTCGGACTAACTATAATCCTGGACTCAAATCACAGCATCAATGAAGCATGGGCACAATAATTCCGGCCACTGAAAAATCTATATAGGCTATAATAACTAAAAAAAAAGGCAGTTTGGTGTCTTTGATATGTGTAGGCTAAACTAGACAATATTTTTCATTGTTTAGGCCTACATAAATATTAGTGGTGGTTGGATTTGGTGAGCATTGAGTTAGGGTATATAGGGCCTTAAAATCCTGCAGGCTCCAAAATCTAAACATCACAGCAAGCAGAAGGACTCTGGGTCAGAGATCCTCTTGTGGTTATTCCATGAGCAAAATCTTCTCAAGAAACACCTGTAGGCTATAATAAGAGAGCAAGAGTAAAAAAACCAAAACTGTCCATGTCTGATTTTTATCTCTGTTTTTAAAACAGGGGATCTGGGAGAAGCTCCAAAAAGACACCAAAGGAAGCAGTAATCTTGCAAGACATTCAGTCGAATCTCCTAAAGCAGACTGCCTGAGGGCATCGCTGCTCTACTCCTGACATTTTTACTGACATGTTAATGAAACTTGAGTGGGTGCTGCTTCTTTTTCTGGCCTGCTTATTTGTTTGATTTTTCCTTTTTGAGCGTGTTATTAGTCATGAACGCTGGAACAAATGGAGTTTCAATGTTATTGTTAACAGGTCAAACAGTGAAATGAATAGCTTAAAAAAAACTGACTTTTATATTTGATGTCCAGTAGATTAGGTCTCTGAAGTAATGTTTATATTTTATATGTGTGTATACAAAGAGGATATAATGCTTAATAAAAAAACCTCTTCCATGTTAAAGTTCTCCGCTGTTCTTTTTTAAATGAGAAATTAATTCAATGTGTCTTGTGTGTATCTCTCTTCTTCTGGTCATTTTCTACACCTAAAATGATAACTATGATTTCAAAACAACAGCCCGTTTAATGAGACTAGCTCACTGTCAGATAAATTACCTTAAAAAGTTGGACGAAAAACAGAAGATGAATAGATGGTTTTAATCCAAGTGCAGAACAGACAGCGGCACCCAATGGAAAAAAAGATGTACAACAGGTCCAGCTATCAGGCTATGCCCTGACGTCATCCTGTGCTTCTGAAATCAGTTATTTTCTTAAACACACATGGCTATACAGTTACCACTCGAGTTTTACTTCTCACTCTTCAGTTTAATGTTTGCACTACACCCTCTGGTTTCCTGTAGACGGGACCAAAAAAGGCCTTATACTCTGTAAATATTAAACTTCACATAGACAGTGTGCCTGCAGGGCCGGTACAAACATGGGAAACCAAATATTGCATGGTCACTGAGACAAAGTTCAACAAAAGAAAAACAAAAAACTTCAGATAAGAAGCTGACTCTGGGGCGGCAGTGGCTCAGTTGGTAGAGTCGGTCGTCTCTCAACTGGAAGGTTGGGGCTTAGAACCCCAGCTCCTGCAGCCACATGTCCGAGTCCTTGGGCAAGACACTTCACCTCAAGTTGCTCCCACTGCTTCGTCAGCAGTGTATGAATGGGATTAGCTACTTCTGATGGTCACTTTATAAAGTGTGTGAATGAGTAGGTCTGACCAGCGGTGTAAAAGCACTTTGAGTAGTCAGAAGACAAGCGCTAGAAAAGCTCAAGTTCATTTACTCTAACGTACTCTGAGCACTCTCACATCTCACAGTGTCTAAAAGTGCTGTGTAAATTTTGCAACATATAAATAAGTAATGAATTAAACTGACGTTGCATAAGGGATTACTGTATTGCTCCTTAATCACCGTCACAGAGGGACACAAGCTTTAACCAAACATATTTTTAAAGTTGGAAACATTTTCTTTGTCAATATATTTGTGCTGATATAAACAGCAGGCAATAAACCGTTGTGGTCAGTGTACTGAAAGTGAACACTTTAAATGTCTGAGTAAAATAACAAACTAACATCTTAAGTGTAATGTTAACTTTCAATAAAACACCAGAGACACTGCTTTGTTTTAAAATACATTTTCATTTATAATAAACTGTGTTTTTGACTAGAGGATTTTTGTTATTTTAAATTTGCAATAATTGATGATGGGATCTTAAACTGCTTGTAGTTCAGTATCACTAGCTCTGCTCAATACCGACAAACATTATTACTGTATATTTATCACAAATCATGTTTGTTTTTGAATGAAGACACACGACAGTACATTATAGAAAACAGGATCCTTCTCACTTCTTGAAGCTGGTGAACCTCCTCTGGCACGCTTATTATGAATCCTGCTGTTATGACACCATCTAGTGGTGAATGCACGCTAATGCATAAGCAAAACTGATCATTAGAATACTGGTACATGTATACTGTATGTATGATTTCTGTCTTTTTTGTCATAAAAAACGTAAAAGTTTCACCCTTCTTGATAATCCTATTTGCATTCAATATAATAGACTCTAAGTTACCTTTAATTCCCCCATTGTTTTTTAACACAAAAGGGACATTCTTTTTATTTTAGCAATATCGTTTGGTTTTTAATAAGCTCTTGTGAAGAGATAATTCATCTTAAATATATTCAGCTGAAGAGGGGATATGGCATAGGAGAAAAGATAACTACATGATTTTGATTGATTTGTAAGTAAATAAACAGCTTTTTTTTTCTAAGTTTATGTATAGCCTCATATTTGATCATTTTTAGGAGTTGTGTCATTTCATAATGTTCAGCTCACACACAGATATGTTGGTGTTTTATGTGGTTATGTGGCTCGGCTCCTGAATGAGCTATCATGTGAGAAAACAAGTAACATGTAAAACACAATTTTTTATAATCTCTAATCTCCAAAGCACCATATTAAACGCATCATAACCAGATTTGATGTGAGTGCCCCACACTGGGACGCTCAGTGCATCGTGTGTGTTGAGGCAGCAGAGTCCAACCTGAAGTGAAGATCAGAGATGTATCAAAGTTCATAATAAAATTACTCCAGAAATAACTACATCATAAAATGATATGAATAAAGATTTATTTTCTCATATGAACAGGTGGATTCATTTTTCATTTTATTTTACAATCTATGACAATCTCGCATTTTTTCTTCTTTTTTTTCTAGCATATTTCAGGAATGACATGGGGAAAGGTTCTTTTTTATTGCTGAATGTTAAATGAAATACACTTTCACTGACTGGAAAAAGAATTGTCTGCTGCTTTTTTTTTTTTTTTTTTACCATGCACCCATCTAACCGTGACCACAAGGACATGCAGAAGAGAGGTGTTCAAACATTTCAAGCGAGGGTGGGGTCAGGTGTTGTGGTGGTAGTGGTGGTGGTGAGGGAGGAGGGAGGGAGGATAATAAAATTAAAAAGTGGATGTGCCTGGTAGCATCTTGATTAAGTGGGAGGGCTGGCAAGGTGAAGGGAGTATTACATGTAAAGTAGACAATCTTCTTTTTGCATTCTTCAGACGTTGACCCAGAGGCGAGAAACTCAGTGAAATATCTGCAAGTGAGGTGAGACCAAAGACCTTTCTATAAAACACCACTGTTTCTTTTTGACCATATAGCAGATATGATAGCAGATCAATCTTTTTTTAAGAGTTTAAAATCTGATAGGATCATCCAGCATTCACTTGATTTTACCAACAGTGATGACGAATCATCATCTGCCTTTTGTCACAAAGTCGATTTGAAGAAATTTCATACATTTCCTTTTTCATATCTTCCTTTCCTTCGGGGGGGGGGGGGGCAATGGGTTTGAATTATTTTGTTTCCTTTTTAAAGTATTATAATATTAAGACTGGATTTGAAACGACAGGATCCGTCAACATACAAAGCAGTACACAGTACTTTTGGAGGGGGACACTATCTGACCTAACTGGAAGTGTACATGTAGAGTGGAGCGCTCTTAACCAGGTGATAACATAAGTTATGGACACAGTCATTCATCGGACGTGAATATGTGAACAAGAAAGGCTGACAGCTTGATAGACGGCTGCATAATGGCTTTAAAAACTAACTCATGTAAATATGCATTTATATCATGATAGTTCATTCTACACTATAGGCATCACATAGCTTTTTTACACACACAGCACACTACAGTCACCTCTTAGAAAATGATGTAATCAAACAGCAAAATAGAAAGTTTGCATATTTTTGCATTGTATGATCCTCCAAAGATTCACAGCTATTTCGTTTATATTGTCGAGTGTGTTCTGCACTGTTCTGCTTCCACTTGGCTTTCCTTTACTCTTCGTATGGGAGGGTTCAGGGAACTGATAGAATGTATGTGAACAGTTAGGCCTTCATCATCTGAGAACCTAAGTTTTAGGTAGACCTTAAGTCGAATTAATGGGTGAACAGGGTCTAAAGTGGAGGGGGGGGGGGCATGTGGAAATCCTGAGACACTGTGTGGCCGGCCTTTTACGCGAGCCACAAAAACAGAATGGACACAGAAGGATGATGAGGCATGGGATTGGGGGCTGAGTTGAGTGGAAACAGATGCAATCTTTTTGTTTTGCCATCACCTCTGATGGCAGGGGTCACCCCTGTGCCGAGCGGCTCAGTGTTTGTTAGCCTCATAACAGGCTTAACATGAGGACAACCTGCTGGGAAATAAAAGGGACCTAATTGGGGCAGGCTGGAAAGAGGGGGCAGAATAGTTGTAAACACATCAAGCAATGACCTGCATAACATAGGAGCCTACAGCAGCCTTACCTGTGCACCTACACTGAGGGTCAGTGTTCTGATAAAGCACTAATCTGTGGACCTCTGAGACGCTCTGTCAGCTCTGCTGAGACACCAGGAGACCCACATTTTTGATCTTACCACAACAAACTAGGAAATTCATCTAACATCACAAATACATGCAAGCAAACTGACATGCGCGTGCGTGCGCGCACTAACACACACACACACACACACACACACACACACACACACACACACACACACACACACACACACACACGGGTCATTTGTGCACACACAACCGATTTATCTCTCTCTCTCTTTCTGTAGACTTTCTTCAGAGGGCAAAAAGGATCTAAACTGTATTCATCAGGCATTCTATTAGATCCAAAATTAAAAATCCTACAGGCGAATCATATTAATGTAAACATACACTTTATGTTGAAGTGGTTTATATTGCGTGACATGGAAGGGGTTATGTTCCAGTGGGGCTAGACTCCTCAAAGAATGCAACTTGGAAAGAAAAAAGTAAAACAGGAAACCAGAGAGGAAAAAAACAAAACAAACGTGTATAAAAAATGAGGCGTCCATATAAGAAAGGCTACAAAAACCTCCACTGGCCCTCTGGCATCGGCATACAGCAAAAGGCACCACAATATTACTCTATTTTTTACGTAGTGAAAAAACTGGCACATCTTTTATGCTGTAAATCAAAATGTACATATAAATAGAGTTTTCCCTATAAAAAAGTCTTTGCTGTTAACTAGTAGACAACTTTTGCTAAAATGAAAATAAATATTTCATTTGTTTAGAATATCTGTCAGTTATATAAAATAAAAATATTTCTTATAGATGCAGGTCTATGCTATATTGATTTTCGTTGGTTCATTTTCACTCTTTACTGGGGTGTATTGTCCGGTTTGGAGCGTGAGTGTGTAAGTCTTGTGTGCATGTTTCCATGCCCACTGTGCCGCCCCGATGAGTGAGAAGTCCGACTGTCCGCCGGCCTGTAGATGGTGGACGGCTCTGCATTCATGTTCTGCATACTGAGGAAGGGCGTGCTCTCACCGTCCTCCTCGGACTCACTATCTGTTAGGCAGCTCCGAGATCCATAGTCCCGAGATGCCTCGTATCCACGTGGGGCCACGTGGCCGTTCAGTCTGGATCTCCGCCAGCGCCGGCTCCCAGTTCCACTGGACCCACTTCTCTTTGGTTGCTCTCGAGAGGAGAGATACTCCTGGGTGGTCTCATAGTCTTCTTCCTCAGCCAGCCGGTAGGGGCTGGAGGGCAGGCTGCCCCTGCTGTCATTAAGATAGGTACGACGCTGCTGCCGGTAGGGCTCCTGGCACTGTGCATCGTGTAGCGGCACCTGGTAGCGGCGTAGTAGAGGCTGGTCATCCTCCAGTGGGTAGGGGTTGTGGACAGCAGGAGGCAAAGACATGGCATGGCTGGCATTTGGGGATGTGATCTGGAAGGTAGGCACCTGCGATGGCAATGAGTAATGGAAATCCACCGGTGAGAGGCGGGCTGGTGTCGTCAGAGCTGACACATATCTGTAGTAAAAACAGAGGGGGGAATAGTTATCTCGAGAACATCAAAAAAGTGAGAAAAATGAAGTCAGCAGGATTTGAATGCTTCATAAGTATTCTGCTGAGTCAATGAACAATGTACCCTAAGTACCAAGCAACAAGGAAGTTGTGAACGAACGCTTAAATATTCATAGAAGTATTTTTTCATAAATATGTTTAGTCACTTACATTTTAGAAGCTTTTCAGAACTGTTAACTATCTTTCAGTCCCATTACAAGTTTGATTTAGGGCCTTTCTTATTTTGAGGAATTTTTGAAGAAGGCTGACATTAATTGAGAGAACTGTCTTTTAGTTCAATTATACTCTTGCAGTGCAGTATTTATTTCCCGTTAATACATTTGGATAAAAGCGTCTGCTAAGTGAATTGTAGAATATATTTGATACCCTTATTCTGCTTTAGAAAGAATCGACTTCTGTGATCATAACTTAAACATCTTTGAAGGAAAGTTAACTTCACCACTAACACGTTTCATGTGGTGTTCCCCAGGGCTCTATTCTGGATCCATTTTTTTTTTAATACACTTTTGAGCTAGAATATTTAAAAAAATATATATTTTTGCTGATTATCCTCAAGATTAAATGTATCATATTATGCTCATGGAAACTGATAACTTTTCTGAACAGTATTTGTAAACTGACTTAAGTCACAACAAACAAGTTGAGGTAGTCTTACACACTTAAAACTAGTTCAACTTTCACGTGACTATATCAAAGCTTCCCAAGCTGTTTAACCCAAAGCCCAGATTGAGGTTGTCTGGCAGGAGCAGCTATTTTGGCTTCCCTTCAGTCTGCAATGAGGACTGATGGTGAGCAAACTGTCCTCCTCCCCAGCCTCAGGCTTCAAACCAAGACTCACAAGTTTGTCCTGCTAATCAAGTGTCCTGCTTTAAAATGCTTTTAATTCAGTTAATAATAAAATAATTCTTTATGTCCTAAAATGTAAAAATCACGCCACTAGTCTTACATTCATCTACTGTCAAGAAACATTTTAGAAAGTGCATGGAATAATGAATACAGTTTTTTTTTTGTACCATAGCTTACCTGGCTAATTATCTTTGCACAATGGGCAGCCAGCTATTGCGTAACTGTGTAGTTAACTGTTTCTGTGGTTTTCTAAGGAAGATTTGTAAAAACATGCTAATGTCGAAGTCATTGGAGAAAGACAATGGCTGCTAGATGTTTTTTTCTGTCAAGCTTATATTAAACTTTAATGACAGGTATGGAGTGTGTTTAATTGACTGACAGGAGTCTTGTCTTTACAATCAGTTGTCATAGTTGCCATTTTTATGTCCCTCCTCCCTCTCTGCTTAATCCCCATGAGACAAATTTTAATTGTCAAAATATGTGAAACAGATCTAGTCATCATTGTGTCTCACAGACTTAATACATTACTCATTTAACAACTAAACATGCATGTTACTACATTAAAGAGAAACTTGAAGTTATCATATCAGTGACGGTGAGTCATTGTGCATCACAGTGTTTGCAATCGCAAGTGTATTGCCTTGAGGAAACAACAACAGGCAGTGTGCGAGGCTGAGATATTCCCATAACACTGCTGACTCAGCTAATTCAGATGCTCTCCCCATGATGGAAGAGGCGCCTGTTACCTGAAACGACTCTGAGGGGATGTTGGTTATGCAATCTGTGTCTGCACAACAGCTCAATGGCCAACGTCTATTTATGCTTGCTGTATGCTGGTCTTGTTGATATCTAACAGTTTCAGAGCTTTAAAGGTTACTATAAGGTCGAAACATCTTTTCTGGTTAGTTTTTGATTTAAGACACAAGTTATTCAGCTGATAATTGCTAACACTGCATACTTGAGAGTGCTATCTTGTTATTTATGTCATGTCTAAGCTTTTGCTGCAGCAAGCATCTTGTGCTGGACAGAAATTCTGAAATAATTTTCAGATACGTCCATAAAACAGCTATAAATACTTAAGAGCCTCACTGGGCCATTACTTCCATTTTTGGATCCGATGTTGAAGCATGATTCAAGATGGACATTTGCTAATTTGCATATGAAACACCTCAAGTATGCATGTGTCACCAAACATTTTCTTTTTAGATCTAGAAATAGTATCCATGCAAAGCGTATAAATCTGCCTTGTTCTTTTAAAAGGCAGGCCAGCACCGGGCAACTCTTACAGTTGCATCCATGCTGCAAATAATCACTGTGCACATTGATGTATGAGGTGAGAAAGTACACAACTTTCAAATGAATCCAGTATTACAGTATGTTTTTGAACTACTTTTCCCCCCTATGCCCTTCCTTTAAGTTTTTTTCTAAACAGGCCGTATTTTTGCTATGCATTGCACAGTTAATTGTTTTCTATGAAATCCCTGCATTAGCGTTTAAGTAATTAAACTGTTCTGTTCTGTGACCTCCTTTATTCATTGACAAATAACCTGAATGAAATGCTGTATGTCTGCATTGCGGCCACCTTGGCTCCGATTTTCTGAGGTTTTACCATCCAAATTTCTTACTGCCTTATCAATTGTGTCTTTTGTGGTTTCACTGGGCTCTTTTTTTTTAGGTTCTATCAAACTTTCATTGTACATTACATTTGGTAAATGTGATCTGATATCTGATTGGCTGATGCTAAATATAAGAGGTTCCTCAAGGAATGATATTTGAGTTACAAGTGCTTCAAAGACTTTCAACTGAAGTAAATGAGGGCTTGTGTGTACAGGAGGTGGTGAGAACACAAAAGGCAGTGTGTCCTCATGTGTAGCAATCTTTAGCATGTTCCTTTAAGCCTTAAACACAGGGTCTTCAATTACAGAGTTAACAAAGCCTAACATACTCTACCTAACTGGGGCTCTGTTCTATTTCTTAAGCAGCTGTTCTTATGGGTGTTGTGTTGATGCTTAAACATACAGTATATCTTTTCAGTAAAGGGCCAAATCGTGTTCACAAATCCCACATTTCCGCCGAGCTCATCGCTAATATATGCCTGTTGAGTGATGGGTACTTGGCTGTGAAATGTATTGTAATCCAAAACACCAGCACAGTGCAGGGAGGACATTTCGGAATTTGAGATGTCACCACAACAAAATTAGGGAGTGTTTCTACAGCATTTAAAAAGGAAGTTCAAACATCGGCCATGGGTGCCAATGACTGAATTAGGGCGCTTGTCTAACACCTGAAAGCACATTATTAAAATAACTTCCATGTAGTACAAAGTTAATTTTAAAGGAACAATCAAAAAATTTGCTAAGCAACTTTCTTTCCATCCTGACATCTTAAACGAGGAGGCAGATTTTTTTTCCCATGCACTCAGTACAGAAATAGTAGCGGGATAAAAATAGATCACTTTGGAGTGGTTGAAAGGCTACCTCTGACAGTAAGAGGTAACTGTTTCTTCCTGTTTCTATTCTTAGTGCTAAGCTAGGCTAATCCCACCCAGGACCTATCTCTGTAACGCAAAGATTAAATACATGTACTTTTGGGTTTTAGGGCAGCATTGAAAATTAGTGTATTTTCTTAAGGTCACATGGTTTCTTAAATAAAATTAAATGTTAAACTTAAGCCAATCAGAGTTAAATAAAGGCCAGGAATAGCTTTACTGTAGCAGCATGTTCCCATTGAAACAAGCACTATTTGTTACTTTTGCCTACTTTGGCGTATGCCGTCATCATGCCTGCTGTGCGTCATTTTCCACTAAGTGTCTCTGGGTGCCCTGACTGATCTCTCAAGGCTGAAAATGAAGCTTCTCATAATGTAAACCACAAACCCAAGCAGGCCTGTTTCCCACCTGTCGCTGTGTGGAGAGTCTCCAAGCGAGTCGAAGGAGTCTCCGTACTGCAGGCCCGGCCGATGGGGGTCAGAGTAACCACAGTGTGCAGCGCGGCGGGCCCGGGCCTCCATGCACGCAGGACTGCTGCATTTACTGGTCCCCACAGACGATGACATCATTCCCGGCGAGTCAGAGAGGATGCTGTCAGAATGTTCCAGGCTCCATGTCCGTTCCTCGTGTCTGACAAATAAAAACTGTGTTAACATGTACACACCCTAGCACGACCACTGTTTTTTCTTCTTCATTTTTTTCTGAAAGACGCTTTAGAACTTCCCTCAGGCTGTGGCTTGAATAAATTCATCAAGTTGCTCGTTCACTTTCTGTGAGATTCTTTATTTAAATAACAGGATAGTGCTGGAAAGAAGCACTTTTTTTTAGTGCATGCTCACCTGTGAGTTGATGAATGGGCTCGTGTGGAAGAGTTATGAGATCTGGAAGAGGCATGGCTGGCAGGGAAGGACCCCTCTGTCGCAGGCCGTATGACTCGTTCAGTTGCAGGGATGTTCTTTGATATGTACTGTGTTGCAGGAAAAATGGATTTGGCAGATGGAAAAATATGAAAAAGGACAGGCTTTGATGATGTCACTCAGCATGAAAACATTTGCTATAGCTACATCTGTTTGTGTATACTTTCATAATGTTAGAAATTCCTTCAGAAACTTACATCTACCATGGGGATTTCCTCTGGGCCTGGTCCTGGGTGATTGGGTCCGTTAGCTAGGCTGCGATTGGGATGTTCTGGACACATGTTTTGTCGCAGATGATTGTGCATCTTCTTTCTTTGTTTCCTGTTGAGAAATTATGTTAAACGATCATTTCATCCGAAACTCTCTTTATTGATTTAATACTAGATTAACTATTTTACCTGTACAAGCTGAAAAGACACAATCTCACATTTAAAAATTCAGTAATCCATTATTTTCAACTACGCTAAACATTACAGTCACTGCCAATAGTAAGTCATCAGCTTGAGTGTACAGTACACTGTTGTTTTATAAATACAATGAACATGGTTTTAGAAATCTAAGAGGAAAGGTAATATGAGAAAGACAATTTGTGAGCAGGACTTACTTGGTTTTACAATAGGCAACCACACACACGATGCCCACCACCAACAGAGCGACACAAATACCCGTGATTGTCAGGACTCTTTTCTGGTAGAGTTCCTCTGCCTCTGTCAACATCACACCCACAAGTACGCAGACGCACCCACACACACCACATGCACACAGTGAGAGAAAGAGAAGGGAAAAAAATTAGTGTCTTGAAGGAGCAGGTTCCCAATAATTCACTGCAGATCTAAATTCATTTCTTGTTTGATATTTTTGGACCAAATCCTGAGCAGGATGAAGCTTCATCTTTGCTACCCTGAAGACTCTCTTCACAGCCAAACCTCTCCCCTCTCTTAATCATAAATACAACAGATGCTGTTGCTGCCTGTGCTGCAGTAAGGCAGCGTGGGAGGGTACAGAGGCTCAGCAGCGATAGTTGGACTAATCTATTAAGCAACTGTACTCTCTAAAAATATAATAATTTTATCACATTTTATAATGGTTGAGGCCTTTTGTGACTTATTTATGGCTAAAAGAACCTGCAAAGAATGCAAATGGCCTTACTAAACTTATAATTTGGCCATGTGCAATACTTGATTCTGAGTCCATTTCCATTGGACTTAGTTTCTCCAAACATTTTTTATAATCCCATCGTGTATTGACAATATTCACAAAGCTGTCATTTCCTATAATGCCACAAAGTGCCTCAAAGTGGCTTATATTGCTGTTTTTCAGGCTAGAAGACATAAAGGTTTCAAGTTATCTAAAAAATAAAACAATTCCCTGCTTTGTTCAAAAGACTAAAAACTGTGAGGAGTGAAATAAAGCCATATTTTAGTTTAAACAACACATATGGTGACTCATTTGCTACAACTAGACAACAGCTAACATTAGTATTCAGCCAACTAGCTAAAAATATGAGCTAGGAAGTGGCTGAAGACTGAATATGACTGTTTGGTAGAGTTATCATACAGTAGAAACTCTATACTGTACATTATTAGCTAATGAAATGTAAGCTAATACCTACCTAGCTAACACAATTTAAGCTAGGCAATGGTTGAATTCTAGCTTTAGCCGGTGTCTGACCGTAGCTAATGGGTTATTAAATGTGTTTTTATACCTAGAAAAAAGCCTCACTAGCTCTCCAATTTTTACCTTCCCATTGTCTTTTAAGTCGCTCATTTATCAACAAATTTTGAAATGATACAAACGTTTTACTCTGTTTACTCAAAGGGGCATGAGTTGAAAACTAGCAATAGTTATTAAATCCTTACGCAGAACATCCGTTTCATGCTATGTATTGAAACTATGTTAAATTGCATTGTCCCTATTAAATAAATAAATTCAATTCAATTCAATTTGAGCTTCCTCATCATAGTGAGACATAAGATGAATGTTCTTTTTGTGTGTATAAAGTCAATGGTCAACAATCTCTTTGTAGAAGTCTTCATATACTCAGGCATTTAGTAATCACAATTATATGGTTTTTTTCACAGGTATTTAACAAACGTGACATTTTTAAATCAAAATGATAAAATATGAATCTGATGCATTTTGCTTTTCCAGAGAAGAGCTTGTGAGAGGTTGAGGTAAACTCTTTGTGTCCCTGATGAAAAATGAAGGAGCAAAGAGGTACAGTAGTGCGCTCCCTGATAAATAATGTAATAAAAATAAATTGAATTTGTAGAACTCCTTCCATCCGAGGTTTCCTTCTTTCATTCTCCAGCGGCCATTTTATACCAGCATGCCAATTTGTGTCAAGTTTCTGATACAATAAACAAATCATTTTCTTAAATGATATCAGCTTTGGTATAACAACACAATGTCCGCATGGTATTGTTCATTATTTTTTATAATGGCATGATGCCTGGCAACTCAACAATGTCAACCACTGGAGCCCTTTTCTGGAAAAGTAGCAGAAAACAAGAGCTAACAATGCAGGCGGATGGAAATAGCAGCAGATAGATGAAACACATGACTGTAGGTTCTAAATTTAGCATGGCATGCTCACATCACAGCATCTACTCCTTGAAGGATAATTCAAACCAGTAACACAGATATTATTTTTCATACTTCAAAGTTACATTTCAGATTCGGTAAAGACAGGGTGATGCGAGAATCATGGACAAGATCACACATAAATAAAAAGAAAAGGGATGGCATGTCAAAGGGAAAGACGGACTCTAGAGGCATGAGATTAAAAGGATTTAGGACAGAAAGAGATGAAGATTGAGGAAAAACATCTGGATGCTTCAAACATGATACACCATGCTTGTTACAGATGGAACAGGGAACCAAAAATCAGTCCAAAAAAAAAAAGAATATGCTAACGTGAGTAAGACGGAAAAAAAACTCAGTTAATGGTTCTACTTTTTTTATGATTATGCAGGTGATGACATCCAGGTTAATGATGTTTAATGGAGGATCAGTTACAATTGATCAGGGTTTGTCATTACAATGAGTTATGGTAGGATTGATCCACTGATTGATTGGTTAATCGAAGGACAATATGATTTACAGATGGGAGCAAGTCAAAACCAAGGACATCTTTTTAGTAGCTTTACTAGGACTGAGAGTCAAAATGGATTGTTCCATACCCATAAATTCAATCCCAAGATGCTCTGCCATGGCAGAGGGTTGACAAGTGGAAGGAAAACAAAAAGAGACCAGGTTTAGATAAGAGAGTGGCACCTTCTTAAATATAGTGAAGCAGACAAAAACAGGCTTTTCAGTAACTAAGACAACATGTCAGACTGACGTGGACAGTAACATCAAAGACGAGACACCAGAACACACATAACAGCATGCAAAACACACTCCAAACCACACTACACAGTTACATTAAGACACACTACTTGAATTAAGTCTTTTGTATTTTCATGACTAATACTGAAACTGTAATCATATTGTTTCCTGCTTTTCACGTTTCTCTACTTTGATGTTTTTCTCCTGTATGTCTCAACACAGTCCAATGTTAAACATAGGTGTCTTTTCAGGTTTTTCAAAGTGCTGTTTTCATTACATAAGCTACCTAAATCTCCTAATGGGAAGAGGCGCAAAGCCTCTCATTACTGCTGCATGGGGAAAATATGCGTCATCTGCAGAGATTACCTTTGGTTTAGCTTTTTCTACTTTCTAAAAATTGCTACACTGTCTGTTCCCTAACACACCCATCACATGAACAGGCACGTTAGAAGGAGTGTGTCTGTACAGTATCGGAACAATCCCACTGAATAAGAAGAATTATTGTCGGACTTTACGTTATATGGCAGAGGGAGGCCATGGGGAGGCTGCGCCAACCAGCTGAGTCCATATCTCTGGCAGCTCACTTGCTTTACTTGGGTTGAAGAAAGTCCCAGCTGTTCTTATGACAACATGCGATTTTAAAGCCAAGCCCTTATAGCTGAGGAGCAGGAGCCATCCTCCTTCTCCTCGGTGTCTCCTGGGGATGGGAGGCGCCCCCACAGGAGGCGGGTTTTTATGGATGTGTGCATGCACATGTGCCTGCTTCTTGAGAGAAGATTTGATTTATTTTCTTTAATTGTGAGGGGAAAATGTGAAATATGTGAGAGGCCATAACAGCTCACTTTAAATCCTCTACATTTATCATATCTGGATGTGGCTTTCAAGAACCTGCTTTTTAATGTGGATCTGCACTTTTGAACCACGCAGAGGTTAATAGCTTTATGGAGTCAGATATTGCATCTCTCACTTAGATTAAGGGGAGATTTAAATACATTGTGTCTCTGTAAAGAACCTATTACACTATGTTCAACTAGAAATATACACCTCTCTCAACTATTAAACATTAAATTACTACTGGCTACAGTTGACTCCTTTCTCATCTTATTCTGCAGATCTGTCTGAGTTAATTTTCTTCGAGCTAGAAAGTGGTTGAATGCCAACACTAAACGTCAAAAAGTAGCTAATAAGAAATCAAATTTGTTGGTTTTTTTTTCTGCATTTTCATTATAACTGTCCTAAATGAAAATGTAGCCTATCGTAAAATCTCCTTTATTTCTAAAATATTTAAAACTGGACGAGGAATTAAAGCAGCATTTGAGCTTTGCACCTTGGGAGTGAAAATAGCTGCAATGTGGATAAGAGATTTAGAATTAAGTATAAACGAATGTAAATCAAATAATTAAAGTGTGGTCTACGTTAATGTGACTGGATGAGAACTGGAAATAACAGCCGTCCTTGAAGCAGTCGCACAGCTGCACTTAACTTAAACAGAAATCAGAAAAAGTGAGTGTAGGAAAAAGATCTCCCACACAACATTATCTCCGCTGCCAGAAAAAAGAGCAAGTAATTTCAGCGCAGTGGATTACGGTTTAATGTGAAATAAAATTACTTGACTTAAGAAGGGGATTTTTGTATTGTACGCTGAGCCAACATACAACAAACAGTATGTGGAAGCTCTACGAGTCAGACCACAGGGACTCAGGCAGGCAGCACCAGGCAGCAGAGAAAGCAGAATGAGGTTGGTATTTTCCTAGCCGTGATGTTACTCTGAATTAAATCCACATGGACTTGCAAAGACATGATTGCTGACAAATCTGCAGTATGATAACAGGAGGTTGTTCGCTTTAATCTGACATGAATGAAAGGGTTTATACTTAATACTATATTATTATTAAACACACTTTCTTTAACCCTGTGTAGTTTCCTTCAGGGAGCCAAGTCCTCCATGAAATCTCATGTTTATGTTTCATTAACATCGCGTCACTTACTTCTTTCATCCTCATGTCATCACAAGCTACCGACAGGTGACATTACGGTGTAAAGCAAAGACAACTACAGCTAAAAACCTTGAAATGCACGATACAAGACCACGTGCATTATTTTCAAGTAAGACAAAACCTTAAGGGCAAGATCTATCACGCGGTAGTTATCCACAAACCTTCATCTAATCTTGCGATAATTCTGCAGGTGATGGATGTGTTTTCTGATGCGGAGTGGTGCAGGGTTGACTTCTCTTACCCCCGGGCTAGTGAAGCCGTTTGACACGACACTCTGGTAGCGAGCATGAACTCCATGCTGAGGACAATGTGCTGGGAGAGCACCATTTTGTTGCTACTTCTGAGGCCGCGTGTGTTTGCAACAATTTGCTATACATTGGATTGAACAGTGATTGGTGTTTTTTCTTTGAGAGCTGGCGTTGATTAAAGTATTTGAAAAGTGAAAAAAGTAGTGCCTCTCTTTCAACAGTTTGCCTTTTTGTTGAAGGTTGTTGTGCTGCTGGTACATGTTTACATAAAGCAGGCACACTAACATCTTAGATATTTCCTGTCTGATGATTGGACCTTTGGCAAATCCCGAATTATCCATAAAAATAGAAAGGAAAGCATTCAATAATTACATTAAAGCTAACAAGAATGTTGTCATGTCAGCACATGTTTGACCCATATACTACACATCTATTTAAATAGGTACATAATTTCACACTTAATATCTTAATGAGGAGCCCTACATGTCACATCACGTTGGTGTAAAATATATCATAGAGGGCTTACAAAATGACCAGATCATCTGTTGTAGTGATTCAATCATCTGTCATGCCTTTTAGAATTGAAACACTTTTAGGCTAATTGTTTCAAACAATCGGTATTGATAGTCTAAAACTTAAAACTTGAAGTGTTTAAAGCTCCTGTGGGGAACCTTCTGTGTGTATTCATTCTGGAGACTCATCACTTTGCTGATCTTGTCCAGTACTCGTGTAAAAGGTTGCTTTTTTTTGGCAGGATGCTGGTTATTATCCGGTGGACACCAACCTAGTGGCAGTGGTTACGGGCATTGGTAACAACTATAAGGCAATGATAAATGTTCTCACTGAGTCTGTTTCATAACAGGCTCCTCACAAGAGCTTTAAATCTCTTTGCAGGAAAGGATCTTCATTAGACGGTGAGAGGTGAGTTGTTTTTTTGCTGTATGTGCGTCTCCCTGTTTGTCTTTCTGTTTGTATGTCTGTATTGATTTCTCTCTTTCGACTTTTACTAATATCCCTCTTTTCTAGCAGATGGTTGTCCACCACTGAGCCTGGTTCTGCATGCTAAAGATAGCTTTTATTACCACTGTTGGTAAATATAGGTATAGTCTATAAATTGATGACTTGTTCTACCATTAGACTGTGTTGTTACATGCACTTGACTGTGTGCAAATCCACTCCCACAAAGCATCTAATCTCATCCACCTACTTGTTGCTATCACACGTACTATCAGCTAGTATTCTGAGAGTGCACATGCAACACAGTGCGAGTTAAAGGGCACCCAGCATCACATGCAGACCAAACACAATAACAGACTCTCTGCGTAACTATGCCAGCCTATGAATGAGTCATTTGAGGAGGCACAGACACAACTATTACGTAATTACAGGACACTAATGCAATCTCTCTCGACACCAGCATGCACACGTCACACGAGGACAGTCTGACAGAGTGACAGAAGAGGAAATCGACATACGGTAGAAACTGGCCATAACGTAGGTTTGACAGCGATCACCAGTAAAGTCATTTGGACACCTGATGGAAAGAAATAAAGCCACAAGAAGAGAGAGAAGGGAGGAGAAGGAGGGTGGTGGAGGAGTGAAGAAGAGGAAGAGAGAGAGAGAGAGAGAGAGAGAGAGAGAGAGAGAGAGAGAGGGCAAAGGTGGAGTGAAAAGGAGGGTATGCATAGAAGAAAGGGAGAAAAGAGAGAGAGGGAGGGAGGGAAGGGAGAGAGACACAGAATTAGAACAACAGCACAACCACAGACAGCCGAAGCAGAGTGTTCCCATGGATGACACCACCGTGTGCGGGGTGTAGTGCACAGCTCATTGCGTGTTGACCTGAAGAGGAGAAAGAGGAAGAAAACAGGGGCAGGAGGGGGTGGGGGGGGGGGGTGGTGAAGGGAGAGGAGGGCAGCTGGAGTCCACAGAGGTAATCCAGGTACAACTGTGTCTCTGTGCTCTGCTGCTCAAGTCAAGCGGACATACTTTTAAAAGGATTGGGCATGTACAACCGCAGCGGTTCAGTCTGTAAGCATCGCTGGCCGAAGTATCCCTCTGGACATCTGGGAAAGAGCAGACATGTGTTATGAAAAGGAGAAACACAAAAAAAAAAAATTTAGATGCACTGTTACGGTGACCTTTCGCAAATTAAATTTCACAATGGAGACCAAGTAAGAAACACAAGAGACTTTGACACTTCCAGGATTACTAATGTGTTCACTTACAGTACACACCAAAGGCATCAGTGCTGGCTGATATATTCCCATCCATTGGAATTTCCCTCACGATCAATAAACTGTCTGTCTGTTTGTCTAATCTGATATAAACTAAATTTTTCTACTTTCCATGATGAAAAAAATAAATGTTAACACATGGATTATATTAACAATAATTCAGTAAGATGCCAACTTTATACATTTAAGCAAAACTTAAATAAATTGTTTTGGCATTCAGAAACAAAAAATGGAAATATAAAAAAAAAACAAGCATGTAAATAATGTGTCACGTAACGATATAATAACAGAAACAGTTGATAATGTATAAAAGATTTTTTCAAATATCACATTATAAATAAAAAGTACAATTTTCTTTAATTCAGATAAATTATTTCTGTTTGTGTTGATTTTGTCGCCCCCTGTGGACAAAATGGTATAGCTCCTCTCTTTGCTGATTTTGTCCTGCACATGTGTAAGTAATTATTTCAAACAAAAAAAGATCTCTTCCGGCTCTCTTTAACAGTGAAATGCAAAATAATGTTAGCGCACTGCTTGTTCATGTCTTAATGTTTTTAAGAGAAACTATTCGTTTTATTTGCAGGGTAGACTTCAGGGGCTCCAACTGCAAAGGTCAGCCCTCTCTTTGACCTCAGCCTGTATTTTGGCAGGACCAGAGAATCTTTGTAGGCGATCAATAAATCAATCCTAGCAAGGCTGTGCAGCAAAGCTGAAAATAGGGTAATGTGGTTTCCTCTCGTGGTGCCTGTTGGGAGCAAAGACGCTGTGTTCATAACCTGCAAATGTGACAGTTTTACAAGTAATACCATCAGACAGAGAGGTAAGGTTATCAAAAGTCCTTAACCAGCATTTCAAGGGCTGAAAAAAAACGTTTTAAATGGAGACTCCTTCAATACTCAACATGTCTGGACCGCTCTGTTCAAGTTACAAAGTGATTTCTGACATGAAGCTTAATATTTTTGTAACTGAAGACAGACTACTGTATCATCACTATCGAGTGAGCCGGCCTAAGCCATATTTCCTCATTATAATCACATTAGGAAGAGCAGTTGGTCTTTTAGGGGCACCAGCATTCCTCTTGCAGTCAAAACTAGACCACCAATCCAACAAGAGGTCATCGGTCGTAATTTACTGGTTTCACACGACGCCTCCCATGAGCACCATAACATTCAGCATTAAATTACTCATCCTGAGTGATGGTGCTTAACTGGGGGGGGGGGAACACCACCTAGACCAAGGAGACTTCGCTGACAGATGAAAGAAATAAACTGTCACTGAATAATTTAAAAATCAGATGAGCGTGCAAAATATCCAGGGTAGTGCAGCTGCTTACTCCATTAGCACTCTTTTATCTTTACTTTGAAACGGGGGGACATAAATCACTGTCAACATTCATTAAAACTTGATCAAAACTAAACACAAGAAGTTAGATGGAAGACAATAAATGATACAATATGTTAGGTGACATGTAACTATATAGTCTATAGTAGACTGCGAATACAGTGACATAACCAATTCCTGACACAGAAAAGAGAGGATTGGTCACAAATTGATAAAATATCATGTTGATAAATCTGCTTTCATTCCATTCTACTTTAGAAATAATTCCTTTTGATCAAGACTTTGAATGCACTTTAACCGATGGTTGTTCAACATTTTTGCAACTTTTTCTATAAATCCTACCAATTCTCTGGTTGCATTTTTGTGGTCCCATTAGCACCCCCTGTGGTCCTGTACAGTTTTTGTTGCAATGACTGGGTTTGCAGGTTTTTGTTGCTGCACTTCATTTCTGTTTTATGTGATTTCTTAATGTACATGTTTATGAAGTCCCAGAGTTTTTGCTGTGTGTGCATTTTTATTGGCTTCTTCATTGTCTCGTTTTGAAGTATTGTTTTCCTAGTTTGCAGCCAATTTCTTCAAAACAAATTATTCTTTCCATTTTATGCCATTGACCATCAATGATTTACTTTTGGTTAATACTTTTGAAGAGGCCACATACTTCTTTATTTTTAAAAATGTACTTTATTCAAATGGAGCAATTAAAAAAAAGTCTACTTCAAAGTGTGCCTTTCTTTATGTCATTTATGAACCTTGCCTCAACTAAACAAAGTTGAGAGCTCAAAGTGAAGGAGCAGGGCATTAAAGTAGGGCTCGCTGTCTGCAGGACTTGTTTAGCCGGTGAGTAATGTCCACTGAAGCCTGGCCTATATTGAATGAGATGGCTGAGGGGCAACAAATCCCTGCAGGCCTTCACTGCATTATCCAACTTTTCTGGCCCCGTGCCCCGGCCGTGAGTGAATTAGCTGCAGCAATTGAGTTATTGCTGCCTCCAATTTGTACACAGTGTATTGAACGGCTGTTGCGGCCGTGTCCTCACTGCTTGGAGAGCATTCTTCCTTTGGCCAACTGGGCACAAACGCCTCGCTAATGTTTCAGCTCGACATCAACCTGGCCAGAGAATTATGCTACGATGACATATGGTGGAACAGAAAATGCAACCCAATATGTGACAACCATGTCGAAAGAGCCATGTGCATGATTTGTGTTGTATGTTTTAGATTTTACTGTACGTAACTTACAGCCTTTTTTTATAGAAATAAAACATGACTTGGACAGTGGTTACCATTTCTTTATCATTGTTTGGATATTATATACTGTATGTCTTTTGGTTGGTTAAATGTCCATCATAATTTCAAAAGGTAATTGCAAAAATAAGAGAAGCAGACCTATAGTATGTTAATAACCCAAAGTATTGATATCTGTTTCAAGTTTCTGTTGGTCTTTTTTCTTTTTGTACCATTGTAGACATGAAAAATCCTCATGATTAAACAAACTGTTTTAAATCAGTGCATGTGAAGCACTTTGTAACTTGGATTTTGATTCCTAATACTGATGCATAGTTATATATAAGGGGCCATCCTGGAAGACTCTCAGCACCCTCTGCATGCATAGTTAAGACTTCTGCCGACAGGGTGGAGGTTCACGTATGTCAAGAGGGCTGAATCTAACAGATAGCTGAGGTTGTCCCATCAGCAGTTGGGTTTTGAAATAAGCTGTAGGCGTACACTTATACTATGCACTGTTGATCTTTGTGTCCCTTATCTCACTCCGACCATCATGACGGTATCCATGGTACTGAGGTTTTATTTTTATGTATTTATGTCTTCATACTGTTTTTATAATGTGTATCGCCTGTATGGACCTCTGTTACAAACCAAATTGCCCCTCGGGGACAGTAGAGATATTCCAATACAATATTAATATACTGTATTCAGTTAAATATGACACAAAACTAGGAAATCATTGAATTATCATTTGAGAAGTTTAAACCTAACAAGTCAAGTCATTATTTTATTTTTTGCTTGATAAAGATTTATCTGAGTACTACATTATCAGAAAAGTTGTTGATTAATTGTCTTAACATAGAAAAACATATCAGTGTTTGCAAAACAGACAAAAACACACGTTTATTTATCATGATAACTCCTCCCTTAACCTCGTAGCAAACAGTGTTTCCTGACCTCAAGTCTTACACAAGCTAAAACGTAAATGTCAAAATCCCCAAAAAGAGGTTGTTTCTGTAATAATGTCAACCTGTTTTCTTCCTGGACAGCACAGATCCTCCAGTACACTTTACACTGGGGTCTTGATCCCCTCTGCTTAATGTAAGCAGTGATTCTATTGACCTCACTGGGGGCCTCTGAGAGGCATAAATATTTGCTCACCACTAAACCAGTGACTCATGACACTTTGGAAAAAAGGCTTTTAATGTGAAGCTCTCCTGTACACTAAACAAGACTTAAAAGGAGGAGCAGAGCACCGCCTCGCTCCATTATTAGTGTTAAAATACACAACAGGTGGGTAGTTAGGCGGTCTGGCTGCTTTTTCCTGTGATGGGACGCTGCTGCTGAACTAAAGAAGAGCACACATCAATTGCTATGAAATAAATAGCCAATGTAATTAGGATGTCGAGAAACTATGAGTTTGACAATAAAAATAACCTTTCGAGGTGAACCCAAAATCCAAAAAGAGATGTTACTCACTTGCATGAGAGCTGATTGATACCATGTATGAAGTAACAGGCGCCGCCATTCACACAGTAGGCCTTCTCTGTGTCGTTGCATCTTCTGGCGTGGCCTGAGCCCGGAGATAGCGTTGTGGTTACTGTGAAGAAAGTAACGAAAAAAAAAAAAACACATTAGCAACACTTTTTCATTTTGACCTTAATTCATCTTTTATGTGTCAATTGTGATCTTTGGCGCCCCAGCAGGATGAATAATTGATGATCGAAGAGGCATCATCATCATCACACAGGTTTTTCTATTAAATATGAACTTTGTTGTTATCGTTTCAAGTGTGATAGTCCTGTACCCAGACAGCTTCACTCATGCACTGCACTTGTACCTCTATGAGATCTCTGATTTTCCGTCCACAAGCGTAATTGTGTCTTTAACCAGTGTTGACACTATCTGGAGAAGTTCTCCGAGCAAAGATAAATATTTCCCTGACAATGCGTGGGAGTTGTTTACTTCTTGACTTAGGTCTGTGGAACGGCCCCTAAATGTCATGTACCTGCACTTAACCCCCCCCCACCCACCCACCCGTCCACCGAAACTGAGGAGATGTAACATGTTTGGGATGACGGCTGCTTATCAGGACACGTGCGGGGCCTTTTTGAAGGAAGGGGAGTGCAAAGTGAGACGCACAGAGGCAGGATGGGGCCCGAGGAGGAAGGAGAGCGCTCTGCATGTCAACACGTGATTGTAACCATGTACCTGCCGTCAGACGGTATACGCACCTACGCAATAAGTGTGACAGTTTGTTGGTAGGGATACTGAGATCTTTGCATCCACAATGCATCTGCTGCAGCGTCCTGATGCTCAAGCCATGCAGAATAATGTGACACGAGATCGCACGAGCATTTTGTATTCAGATCCGACATATATAGGCTGTTTTGCCACAGGGAGCAGATTTCACAACTCCCCTTCTGTAACACATGAAGAAGCTGCTCTCCTTGGGTTAAGGAAGTGTGCTCTGTGTTGTACAGAAGCACACTCCTGGTTTTGCTAAAACAACATAGCTCAAATCCCATGCTAGTTAGCATAACAAAGCAAACATGGGGATGACATCAGTCTGCGCTTCACTTGCCAGAATTAGTCAGCACTCAAACTCCAAACACAATATTAGAACTGGCACAAGAAACATTGGACTCCTTTCGGCAATAAAAAAACGCAACTGTTTCATTATCTGACTGCAAAAACAAAGTCCTGAAGCATTAATGCAGGTTTTAAAGTTTCATTATTTTTCCTTTGAACATTTGTTAGTTTAAATACTTTGTTTTGTCTCACGTCTTGTAAATGTGTATGACTCTATCATTGCTGGTGTGTCAGCTCAACATAGATGTATAAAGATGAACACTTAGTGCAGTGGTTCTCAACTGGTCGAGCCTCAGGATCCACCAACTAGTTCTTCATGAAAAATACATCGTGACCCAAATTTCTTATAATTTTCAATCAATCAGATTGATTTAAAGAAAAAATGTGCAGTTTGGACCTCAGATGGTACGAAGTGTCACATAAATCACCAGAGGAGGTTTGTGATCCTGTATAAACCAGCTCTCTCAGAACGCTCCATTTTGGTGTGTGTGTCTCTTTAAATGTAATAAGCCCCCCCCTTGAGTTTTCCAGGTGGAGGTCACTCCCCTGTAGCGAGAATAAAAATGGCGGACCTGCGCAAAAGTTTTGTTCTAGGCTTGGGGTGGAGTCCATGGGTGGAGATATCAGGGGAGGAGAGTGGATTTTTTTTTACCAGAATCCCACTGTGACATCACAAGCTGAGCAAATTTGAAACGGAGCATTTTTCTCTGTGTTGTAAGACCTATACACACAACAAACAAAGAACTGGATGGTTTTATTTCACACTTTGTGGGTCAGTAGACACTCACTTTACCCAAATACATTTTGAAAAAAAGGAAAAATGGAGGTCTGATAGATTTGTGGTTACCAAAATCTTTGCTCTGGCAGCCATACAGGTGTCTGTCAACAGTATCATGAACATCCTTCCAAAGAACAAAAACTGAGTCATAAATCTCCAGATAGATCTTTGATTTGATGAGATGTGCTGACATGACCTCTTATTTATCACTGACTTTTGTTTTATGTTGTTAAACAATATAATAAGAGCGCTTTAGACATAATCCATCATGTTCTTATTCTGCCAAAGTTCCCTAAAAATGATTCAAAGTTACCAGCATACCAAAGCGTCTATCTCCTGTCACTTCAAAACTTTTCCAAAACTATTTCCAGGTTTACCAGTTAATCAGAACTACCTCACCGTCACACCTGACCTCTCGCTCGCAGTGCTGGCGTGTAAAACACCTCGTAAAAAAAGATCAGACAAAGCTGTCAAGGAGAAGGGACCTGAAAACATTGTAAAAACCTCCTACGCTCAAAATAGAAGCCTTGTGCAGACTTCAACCGTAAAAAACATGCAAAACAAAAGGCGGCGAAACAGGCTCGATCTGGAGCCGAGGCCTATCCCAGAACGCACTGATGGGAGGGAGGGAGGGAGGAAGGGAGGGAGAGGGAACGTCCTGGACAGATCATTAGTCGTCTGAATCCATACACAACTCACACAGACACACACAGATAATCTGAAGTCCACCTGGCCTACATGTGGGTGGACTGTGGGTGGAAAACAAACGACCCGGAGAGAAGCCACACAGGGAGGTGGAGAACATGTAAACTTCACACAGAAAGGATCAAGGCGGGTATTTGAACCCTGAACATGTCCTGCAAGGTTTATTTGGCTACTGGTCATAACTGATCTATTTCACTGTATTCACAGACAGACTGTAAGACAGACAGTCATTGAGAAACTTTGATGTGATTAGATGATATGACCTGAAACATTTGCTCTATAATCTCTGAATATTTCCCAATTGACCATGACCCACTTCACTTTTTAAGGACCCACTGATTTTTCCATTTGTTGGTTTCATGGGCATTGGTCTCCATAATAACATTTGTGTGATTCTTTAAACAATTCAGAGGTCTTATTCCTACATTCCCTCAGCCACATTACAAAAGACTTAGCTTTAAATAATCCAGTGTTGATACTTTTCAATGTCTAATCTAACTTTTTATCTTCAATTAATGTAGTGATTCATGAGAATGTATTGTTGTTTGTGGTATAAAATTATAGCTAGAAACATTGTATAAGTATATATTTAACATGTTTGGTTATAATTTATGAAACACACTCTTCTAATGTGCAAAACACTGACCAGGCCAATTAAGAGAAAAACAATCACGTCCCACGATTTTACCATGAAGAATGATTGAAATGAACGTCATGGTGCCATGTTGATATGCAGGATAATACAGGGATAAATATCTGCAATGGGAGAAGAACGTCAGCGCTACAGTCTTATACTGCAGATGAACACTCCCCCCCCAAAAGAAAACACAAGGATCATTTGCCTAAATGACAAGCATCACCTGCCTGCACTTAAAAAACTTCCAGAAAGAGCAGAGCCACATTCCTGTGGATATTATTGAACCGCCAATGCAGCAAAAACAGATAAAGAACGAGTGTTCAGTGAACTTGTCTCACGCTCAATTTATTCATTTCAAAGACAGGATTCATTTGAAGTATCTTTAACTTTTCTTCTGTAAACATTCAAAGATGATATCAAAGAAAAAACTCACAAGTTTCACTTACGTTGTTATTGAAGTAGTTATAGGTTATTGAATGTTGGCTTAGAGGTAAGACCGGCCACTGACGTCTTCTTGCAAAAATAACTCAAGCGGTAATGTATCTTATATAACCTAAGTATAATGCTAAGAGTTTATATTGATCAGCTTTAGTTGTAAAAATATCTGAAATTATTTTAGGTACATTTTTAATCCACAAGGTTTCTTTTCTAGAGGTTAGCAACCTATCCTATTAACTTCAAAGACCGCCTTTATCTTGACAGTAATGTATCGATTTATTTATGAGCATTCATTGGCTGGCAGTCCTTAGCTGTCATCCGATGATATGATCCTGCATAGTAAGTGTGCTAACTTCACTCCTTCTTTTGATCTACTGTCCTCCATCTTTTTCCTTTTTGTCCTCCAGTTTCTCCCCATCAGCGGGGAAAGGTTCTCATCTCAGTGCGTCCAGTATGACGCTAATGTCAATCCTTGTCCCAAGCTTAAAAGCACATGTTCTGATTATGATGTCAAAGCTAGAGTTTAAAGTGTGGCTACTTTGATTCAAGCAGCAGGAGGCCAAAGAAAAAGGGAACAGCAACTGCACAGAGTCTCTATAAATCTCACATGTGGACCCACTTCAGGTTTTATAATAAACTTGTAAAGCTGGACAAAAGTATGTAAAAACCTGCTGAGCAGCAATAAAATATCAGGGCTGGACCCTGAGATGCCTTGGACATATTGTTTCTCGTTTTCACCTGCTCCTTTCTCTAGCCTCCGTATCTGCTGTGAGAGAAGTCAAGACGAACGCCAGTGCATGAGTCAGCGGAACATTTGAGTGCGTTTCCATGAGCTATAGCAGCAACAGATAAGTTCCTGGGCTTTTCCTCCTATTTTATTTTGTCTCCTAGAGATATGGCTTGTATTGTATACTTCAAGTATTGGAAGCAAATAACATTGAAAAATGTTATGCCATCCTCAATCTTATTAATAAAACTATGTTTCTATTCCAAAGATTGAGGAAACTAGTAGTACATAAACTCTCATTATACATGCTTCAACTTGGTGACATAATCTGTTAGCATAACGTTTTTTTGCTTTTTTTAACTGATGACATGCTATGCTGATGACAAGCGGTTATATCTTCCACTAAATCACAGTAATGCCAACTGCCTCATTTCTCTCAGAGACTGTGTAGAGGCCACCAATTGATAGAAATGTTTTAGCTAAATAAAAGTAACGCAGGAAGCAAAATACCAAAGCTTACATTTTAATGACCTAGGTGAGTTAAAACCAAAGCCACTGTGTTCAACATGACCCTGATCTTTGGTGATCAGATAAGGAGAGTTGTGCTGTCCTGCTTTCTTCAGATCAGGAATGATTTGAAAATCAAGCCAATTTCACTTCATGCTGATTTGGAGAGGTTAATGTCATGTTGTCTCTTTTAGACTAATATTACTCTTTTTTTAC